CCCCTGTGAAGCCCCCTTACAGTAACTCTGATTCAACACACTGGAGGTCTGGATCACCTTACAGGGGTCGGAGTCTGGCTCTGGGTCCAGGGAGGGGGGGAGTCTGACTCTGCATGGGTGTGGGCTCCTCCTCGGCTCTCCTGACACCCCCTGGGCCCCAGGAAACTCCCTCCGCCCCCCATCCTGCTCCTGACGTCATGTCTGGAGGCAGGCTGCGGGGTCTTTGCAGGAGTTCTGAGAGTCTTCAGACCCGAGTCAGATCCGGATCGGAGGGGGACCGCAGCAGGAACCCGGGAGCTCACCTGAAGGTTCGGCCTGAGACCTGGAGCTCACCTGAGGAACGTTTAGTCTCTATTATCCAAACTTTATTTTTATTTTAATGAAGTGAAACTTTTATTCTTTTTCTTTCTGGGGCAGAGGTGTTGGAGTTCCTTTATCCAGGAGTTCGGAGCGTCGAACCGGACTTTATTAATTATTATTATTATTAATTCTAAAGAAACTTTATTTCGTTGTTCGGAACAGTTTGTCGACATGTCTTGGACTTCTTTGGGCCTGTTCCTCTCCTTCGGCTTGTTTCTGGCTCCGGTCGGTGGTTCGGCGGAGCGGCAGCCCAGTCAGAGCGGCTTCAGGCGGCTGTACGTGCTGCAGCCCGGACCGGGACCGGGACAGGGGCAGGGGTCGGGACCCGGCTCGGCCGGAGCGGCAGAGGACGGCGGGCTGAGGGTCAGCTCCATCTCCAGCCGCCACGGTCCGGCAGGACAGCCGCTCGTGTACAACGTGGATCTCAGCAGCTTCGGTGGGCAGGTTCGGACCCGCAGGATGGGGAACCAGCAGGAGCAGAACCAGCAGAACCAGCTGCTGAAGCTGTCCGGGTAAGAGCCATGAGAGAGGGGTTCACGTGAACAGGTTCAAGGCTGGTTGGCCCTCTGACCTCCAGGACCTCAGGAAAACCTCAGTTTTAATGAAATGAACAGATTTAAAACTTTGTGACGTCACCACGAAAACTTTACATTTCTGTTGAGCTGGTTTATAAATGAGTCAAATGATGTGCTATTACAGGCCAAAAGTGTGTGCTTTTTAGGAGAAGCAACAACAACAACAACAACAACAACAACAACAGCAACATTATTTTTTATTGTTTGTACATCCAGCTCAGACACCTGTTCAGACAGATCAGCTCCTGAAACCCCACTTTCTATACAATTAGACCACTATTATTCTGTTTCTATAAGTTTTTAATTCACAGGCTGAAATCCACCAAAACATGCAACTCAGTCACTAATTATGTTCTATTGTTTTTATGCCAATTTTGCAAAAAAAAAAACAAAAAAAAAAACTGTGAAAATCCCCATGAAAACAAGGAGAATTTGGTGATGCAGCCTWGAAACCCTCTGGAGCTCAGCTCAGGTACAGCAGAAACATCACTCATCAAGTTTAAAACTGCTCACAAGAAGTTGGACTTTCTGTGACTGAACTTTTTATTTATTTATTTGTTTTGTAACTTCAGTAGTTTCTACATAGTCCCAGTGGAATTTTGTTTTATATTAATTAATCTGATTTATGGTTTTGGAAACATAATGTAATGATGCCACGCTTTTTAACGGTTGCAAACAAACTCCTCTTACTGCCCTCCAATTTACACACTTCATATAGTTTATAGATCCAAATGTTGGTATTTCTATCATTTATTATGTCTCTTACTGACACAGGACTTACTGTTTTCTCTCTGATCCCCTCAGAGTCCAAATTCTTATTGAATTTCACTCCAAACTCAAATATTTCTCCTTGAAACAGGAAGTGAAGGTCTGTTTTATCTTCTATATGAAATACTGGAGACATATTAACTGATGTGTGATTAATAGACACTGAGACCTCTGATCGTTCAGGATTTATTTAAGCATGATTTAAAGTTTTGGCACAGCTTTTGTYGGCTTTAGTTTTCAGTAGAGTMCAGTTTTCGCGTATTTTGAGAGATCTGAGATYAGCYGATACTTGGATAAGATCGGCGGAAAAGATCAGCTTCTCCTGTACCTCCACAAAGTCTGAAAATCAGCCTCTGTCCCATTCTGCTCTGCTGTGAGCACTACCTAATGTCCAGTTACAAGTTTGTATTGTGCCAAAGGTATTGTTCAATGTTTTTCAGTAAAATAAGATTGGAACATTGAAGTCAGTTATATTTATCGGCATAAATCGGAAATGGCAGGTCGGACTTTTTAAAGATCAGTGATCTGCCAGAAAACTGCTTTTGGTGCACCCCTAGTTTTTCATCTTTTTCTGTTTGTAAGTCTTAATAAAAGTGATGTCTGGGGGAGGTACAATAAGCCCAAATGAGCTTCCCTTGAGGGGTGATCGATAGATTTTTTTTATTCCAACTTCAACGTAGGTGTCTTTAAAATTTTCATAAGTTGGCATAAGTTGTCTAAAACGTTACAGTGTGACAGGACCTGAAGAGGCAGGCCCAGAATTTGCATATGTAGGATTGTGGACACTCTTCGCCTGGGAACACTCTTCAGAAGGAGGTGGAGAGTGTTGGTGGGTATAAAGGGATGTCTGGGTTTCTCTCCTGGGTCTATTGCCTCTGAACTGACCACAGATAAGTGGTAGAACACAGTTACATTACTTGTAATTGGTAAACTTCAAAATGGGAATGGCACAGGGAAAAAGTATTGAACACGCTTACTGAAATTTATCTAATACTTTGTACAAAAGCCTTTGTTGTCAA